TGATGACTAGGTCACAGAGCAGACAGCTTATTTATATAACTTGATTTACCAATGTCCTGCATAAGGAATGAAACCTTGCTCTAAATTGTAATCCTTTGACCTCTAAATGGCCAGTGATTTATAGCACCACAAAGATGGTACACTATACTTAACAGTTTGAGGACACCATTTAAAGGGAACTTTTACACCATAACTACATTTGTAATAATACACTTGCAATTCCAATTACAGACCATTTGCTGAACCAAGAAATACTTTTTATGTGTTTTGAAATGAAGAATTCACCTTTGTTATAAATATATTGTACTCAAATGGAAAACAGTTTTCAGAATATATATCCAAATTCATAACACCTAATATTCAAACACTAAGTACTGGAAACAGAGGGAAAGAATGAGATCCATGGAAGTCAAATGGAAAATAAAATGATACATCTGATGTAAAAGCACACTATGTAAACAAGATGATGTCATGAAATGTGACTCAATTTTCTCTGTAAGTTAGAGTTACTAGCTGTTTTACTCAATAAAGTTGTCCAATTAGGTAATTTGAGGCATAGCACCAGATTCTCTTAGGTTCAATAGCCTTTTTTGCTTTGTGGAGTTGTTTTGTACTTAATTTAGATGGTTTGTGGTGGCTAATTTATCTTGATGCGCCTTTAATGCAAGTAAGCTTTTGTTTTACTTCTCCTCATTTATTTATATGGAGGACTTGTCCTCTCTTCCACAGCTACCCAGGTTCCTATTTATATGTCCTGTGTGCAGTGACAGAAAGGACAGTAGGCTTTAATGCAAACCTGTCTTTGTGGACTAAAATCCATGACTGTGGGCATGTCTACACATGCGCTTTAATGAGCAGTAGCCTATTTTACTGCGCATTAAAGCATTATGTTAAAAAAACCTGTGCAAATACACTAATGTGCAGTAAAATAGGCTACTGTGCATTAAGCATCTCTAAAAAAGTGTGTGCTTTTGCTGCTGTACATTAGGGCAGTCTAATGCACCATATTTAGTACTAATGTTCATTTACTTAGTACTAAATTTAATGTGCATTAGGAAAAGTGCATTTATGAACATGTAGATGTACCCTGTGATGACTACTTCTGTGTGGCTGAGAAAAGCAGCTTTAGTTTAAGTGAAGGCAGATCATAGCCAGTAGTTGTATGAAATCTGCCATTATTGTCCTGCCACAATTAGAGACCTGATCCAAAAAAGCCTGAAGTCCTGAAGAAATGTATACATTAACTTCACTGGGATTTGGAATAATATACGTGCTACAAGGTTGTGTCCTGGGAAAAATTTCTCCCAGTCCATCCCACAGAAAGTTTTATCACATAGCCTTCCTTTACTGAATCTCACCGTGGACATCTCTCTCTGTTACAGGAGTATAAATAAATAAGGATAAATGAGGTACCTGTCTTAAACCCTGGCTTTCAAACTATTTAATGTTTTGAATGTACATAATTAGGAACTTGAGTTGAAATTCCTATGCCTGTTTCAACAAACAACTCATTGGGCACATCTACATGTGCACATTTACTGCACAGTAACTGAAATTATCATGCAGGTATCAAATTTATGCCCGATTAGTTACTGCACAGTAATGCACATGTATATGCCTTACCACGCAGTAACATTGTGTGTGTGGACTGATGCACAGTGTTAATACATTTTAATGCCTGCACATGTAGATGCTGGCCTATTCCCACTTAAATTTACAGCTCAGTAAATTTAAGCTGGGGTAAATGCACGTGTAGACACACCCATTGATTAAGAGGACAATGAGGAGACTTTTGCAAGCTTCTTGAATTAGCTAATTTCCACAAGTGCATAAAGATCCAACAGGAAACAATGGCTATTAGGTTACTTTTGTGTATTAAGCTTGTGCAATAAATGTTGACTTACGAGCTTTGATGTTGTCTTCTCAGTTTGGGGAATATGATGATGAAGATGAAGCAGTATTCCATACCAGTTGGATGCATTAGTATGGATTGAACTGATAGGATATTGGCTTCAGAAAAGAACAGACAAGAGATGAAGCATAGAGGAATAACAGAGGTAAGATTAATTAGCAAGCAAGCCTAAGAAACAATAGAAGGAAAAAAGTCTTCAAACAATGACAGTAAAGCCAGTCACCAAGCAGCACAAGGAAAGAGAGAGAGATAAAAATGTCTCCCTCCCATGCTTTCTGGATATTGATGCTTTCAGCCTGACTCAGCATCACCCTTCTTATCCAGACTTTCTAACTCCTGTGTAAGGCAGTGATAGACTATGCAGCTTTAAGCCAACCTGACAAAACAGTATAATTTTAGTGTTCCCACTAGAACATTTTCAACTAGATGTAATTTTGTCAAAATATTCTGTTTCATTGAAACTGAAACATTTGCAGACATGCATCTAATTTGACAATATTTTAAAGGAGAATGTGTCTGAGTACCAGGGTTTTCTGGTCACATATAGTTACAGCACAATGAACACAAATTCATTTTTGTGAAATATGCCTGAAACACTTTGTTTTAATTTCAATAACAAGCAAAAGCAAATCCTGAACCTCAAAAATTGTTTCAAATTGGGACTGTCATCTTCTAGCCAGCTCTTACCCCCACCTTTTATGAATTAAAATTGAAAATCCACGTATTTTCCTTCTTCTTCTCTTCCATCCTTCCCCACTTTCTGGAAAGGTGGAACTGTGACTTAATGCAGCAGCAATCAACATCTTAAAGAGTGGGAGAAGGGGTAAAGGTATGTGCCTTTTTACTTTTCAGTTGGCTACAATCCTAGCTAAACAGGAATAAGCTCATTTAGAGAAGCTTTGGAACTGAGGAAAATTAAAATCATATATATACACATATACACTATAATTCAATTCTATAAAGATTTAGCAGTGCATGAGACTCATTTAACCATAACCAATCTTATTCCCAGGGACATGCACTCACATTTCAAATGTGCTTTCTTATTTGAACCAGACTTGCCAAAGTGAAAGAGTTTTTTTTTCATTTGAGAAATTGGAAAAAAAACAAAACAATACCCTATTCCTTTTAGTTTTCTCAAGTTGTGCTTTTGATGTCACCCCTTCCCTTTTCTGCTTGCTACATCTGGTTCCACTGTCAAGTCCCTGCTAATATTCAGAGAACTGCATACTTGATGCTCTTTAAGGATTCTGTGAGTGTTTGTTGGTGTGTGTTTAAATTATATAGATTATTTAAAAGATAAAAGCATAGATCTAAAGAATGATATATCTTACAATCCATGAAAGAGGGAAAACTAGAAATGAAGTGCTAATAATAGGAACAAATAGGAATTTTTTTTTTTGTTTGGACAATTTCAAGGACTAACAGGAATATATTTCCCCCCAAATAACAAACAACTAGACAATGCAGTATACACTAAATCACTAAGGCTGCAAACAGACATGCAAAAAAAATGGGGGCTTTAACATAAGAAGCAGCGCATTAGTTGGACCTGGCTCCGCAGCATCTGTATAGATCGAGCGCTTCAGTGGAGCTTTTTGGTGCTTATATCTAATAGCTGATTCAATCAGCTAAGCAAAGCACCATTGGCGGGGTGTGGAGGGGGAGGTTACCTTGAAGCAGCATAAATGTTGATATTTTCCAACAAAAAACTGTTGGTAAACATTTCAAAAGTGCCTAAACAGTTAAGAGTCAGATTTTAAAAAGGTATTTAGGCACTTATTGATAAGCATCTACTGGGATTTACAGTAATGCCCAGGTGTCAAACTTCTATTGATGTCACTTTCAGTGGGATTTATAAACTGAAGAGCTTTTTTAAAACAGGTCTATACAAAGAACTTACTGTGCCTAAGAGAGACATCAGCCAGGTATAAGCATTACCCTTTTACCAGTGTAAGGGTGCAGAAAGAAATGCAGCTACCAGCTGTAACTCAGAATGATTTTTGCAAAGCGTTCTGAGTTACAACATTACCCCAGACCAAACAGAAGTTCACTGCTGGTTCCAGGGGGTATGGGAAATGGGAATCTAGCTGTGGCTGGGAGCCTGCAGCCAGGTTCCCATAGCCACGGCTCTCTGCCCACGGTCACTGATTTCAGAACGGGATGGGGGAAAGGCAAAAGAGAGCTCATTCTTGGGCCTCTCCAGCCAGTGCTGAATGTGGGGTGGGTGAATTGGAGGCCCCCTCCACTTCAGGAGGGCTGCAATACACCTGCCCCACCCTCTGGGGGCGGGGAGGCGGGGCTGAAAAACCCATAGACAGAACTCCCTCTGCTCCCTTTCCCCCTTCCCATTCTGAAAACAGTGACAGGCTGGGAGCTTCAGAAATGCAAGTTATAAAAGATGCAACTTTTTGTAACATCTTTATCTGATCCCTCATCCAATGAGGGATAAGATTTTCACCCAGTTGGCCATTTTTGAAGCTGTTTGCAGCTGTGCGCTTGTGTTTGGTCACAGCTATAAACTGCTTTTAGTGGCCGGATCAGGTGAAAATTGTCAATTGTGTCTGCATGGACCTCACCTTGGACACCTAAACAACTTTAAAAATTGGGTTAAATGGCTTAAAATTGGAATTGGACTTAGATGCTTTTAAAAATATTACCACATAGACAATGACTAACACCATATTAAAGAAAGATTTAAACATTCTAATCTCCAGATGGTTCTGGTCATAAGTGGTAAGTAAACTAGGAGTTAGGTAATCCAGTCTGATTCATTCCTATGTGTACTGAGGATTTGCAAAGATGCTTTTGCACTGGTGCAAAAATTTTTAATGCCACTTTCATGTAGTGGTCTATGTGTCTCTATAAGTCAAGAGCTATGTCAGCAGTTGTGTGGCATAGCTACCAGTGGGGTCTCCCCCAGGTCAAAGAGTCAAAGGGTAGGAACCAAACTAAGAGGAAAACCCTGGTCCACCTGGGGCTGGGGGTTGGGCATGAGGCAAACAATGTCATCTTGTGAAAAAAGCTAATATTATAAAATCAAAACTAAAGCCTTAGATAAACATGAAATATTAAACTTGGAATGTTAGCTATTAACAGAGATAGAATGGTATAACATAAAAACTGATCTGGAAGGAATAGGCAAACATATGACAAGGCAGAAGGAGATTATGTAAAATAGGAGGAGATGGAAGACTTTAGTTAAGGTAATTATAGGCCCCTGAGGCCTGTGAGACTAGAGTTAATAAGAGAGAGAGAGAAGAGAAAAATGCAGGAAAGGTAATAAACAGAAAAGATACTGCCACACTCAAAACAGAACTCCAAAAGAGCTCAACATGATGAAGATCAGAGATTTCATCCCATAATTCTTTAAAAAATGGGCACATAAAAATTGCAGGTCTGATAGCAAGAATGTTTATTACATCTCTCAAGTCAGGGGCAATACTTTATGCCTTGAGAACAGCAAATATAGTGACCCAAATATGACTCCACCCTAACTTTAGACTAACAAGTGGCATTTCAGGCCACTTAGATGGATTATAGATTGTATTCTGCCCAAAAAGGTGCCTGACTTCATGCAAGTTACAACAAAATAGAGGAAGAAGCCTTCCCACCTTACAGCCCAAGAGCCTA